CCTCATCCCGAGTGCTAGAATTAAAGACATGTGCCACCAACGCCCAGCTAAGTGACACATACTTAATCCCAGCATTTGGGGGGCAAAAGCAGGTGAATCTGAGGCCAGCCTAGTCTACACAGCAAGTTCCAGAAAGCCAGGGCTATACAGAGAAACCTTGTCTCAAACAAAAAGGGAATTCAATATCTCCTTCCAATTGCACCTCAGGCTTTCCTTCAATTAATGTTCTAGTCTGTCCCTGAAGTTAGATTTCAGCACTTCCCCTCTCCCAATGTAGGCCTGTGCTTTTCTCTGCGTTTAAGCTTTGCAGGCAGGAAACGTGAAGATGAATCTGGATTTTGCACCGTCGGAGCCAACGTTGTCATGAAGAACTGTGGCTTACCTGTCTTCAGTAAAACTGTCCTAGGTCCTGTTAAAGTCAGTGGGGCTTTGGCTTTTTCCAAGTGCATCATTGTGACTAGTCATGCATAACCTCCAGGAGCTGCTTCTCGTGACTTGGTACACAAGACTGAGACCCCTCCTCTCCCCTAAACACTCACTGGCTATTAAATCTGCCTTGAGTCAGCTACCAGCTAACTGCCTTCTCATCTGCTTGTTCAGGCTAGTAAGAGCAAGTAAATGGTTTAAAAACCAGAGGCTGGATGGTGGTGACATACTCCTTTAGTCCCAGCACTTGGGAGGCAGAGGCAGGTAGATGTCTGTGGAGGCCAGCCTGGTCTACACAATGAGTTCCAGGATAGCATGGGCCTCATAATAGACCCTATCTCAGAAAAATTAGTAAATACAAAATAGAAATTGAAAAGGGGTGGGTGGGTGAGTGCTTGAGTGCCTGCAGTGGCCAGAAGAGGGAATCAGATCCCCTGGAGCTGGGGTCTAAGCAGTTAGGAGTTGCCTGACATCGTCCTAGGAGCTGAATTTGGGTCTACTAGAAAAGCAGCAAACCTATTCTTAAATGCTGAGCCATCTCTCTAACCCCGGAAAAACTGAAAATTGCAGGTGGCTGTAGTTCTAATATGACCTCTGCACCTGAAATGCCTTGACAAATGTGTCCAGTAAGTCTTATTAATAGCAATGGTAGGGGCTGGAGATAGTGCTCACACGTTAAGAGCACTGACTGTTCTTCCAGAGGTCCTGAGTTCAATTCCCAGCAACCACATGGTGGCTCACAACCATCTGTTATGAGATCTGGTGTGCAGATAGATGTACATGGAAGCAGAATGTTGTACTCATAATAAAAAAGCAACGGTAGGGGCTGGAGAGATGGCTCAGAGGTGAACAGCACTGACTGCTCTTCCAGAGGTACTGAGTTCAATTCCCAGCAACCACATGGTGGCTTACAACCATCCGTTATGAGATCTGGTTCCCTCTTCTGGTGTGCAGATATACATGGGAGCAGAATGTTGTATACATAATAAAATCTTTTTTAAAAAGTGCATTAAAAAAGCAACTGTAAATGTAAATATAGGACATGAAACTGAAAGGGGACCATGAGAAGGGGAAAGAATTGCTAGTGAAGAAAAGGGGGTTACCAGGGGAAGGAAGGGTGCAAGAAGAAGCAGGAGTTGGGGAGAAACCAAAAGAGGTGAATTAAGAAAAATTGTATTTTATGGGCTGGAGAGATGGCTCAGAGGTTAAGAGCACTGACTGCTCTTTCAGAGGTCCTCAGTTCAATTCCCAGCAACCACATGGTGGCTCACAACCACATTGAATGAGATCTGGTGCCCTCTGCTGGCCCGCAGGCAGAAGACTATACATAATAAATCTTTTTTTTAAAAAAAAAAGAAAAATTGTATTTTTAAAGTTATTGTGAGTGCCATGTGTGTGCAGATGCCCTTGGAGACCAGAAGTAGGCAGTGGATCCTTTGGAACTGGAGTTATGGGCAGTTTCGGGCCACATGATGAGGTGCTGGGATCTGAACTCAGGTCCTGTACAAGAGCAGCAGTACTCTTAACCACTGAGCCAGGCTGGAGATATGGCTCAGTGGTTAAGAGCACTGACTGTTCTTCCAGAGGTCTTGAGTTCAATTCCTGGCAACCCCATGGTGGCTCACAACCACCTTGAATGAGATCTGGTGCCCTCTGCTGGCCTGCAGGTGGAAGACTGTATACATAATAAAATCTTTAAAAAAAAAAAAAAAACACTGAGCCATCTACCCAGTCCCCAAGAAACAGATATATTTGAAAATACTAAGATAAAACTTAATATATTGTATGCTTTCTTGATTTTTCAAGACAGAGTTTCTCTGTGTAACTTTGGAGTCTATCCTGGTACTGCTCTGTAGACCAAGCTGGCCTTGAACTCAGATCTGCCTCCAGAGTGCTGGGATTAAAGGTGTGAGCCACCAACACCCAGCCTGTATGGCAATTTTTTAATTAAAATTAACAAGCTTGCTGCACATGTCAATCCCAGCTCCCTCCTCCACCCCATCCCCCTCTGCTCCCCAGGGAGGGTGAGGCCCTATATGGGGGGATCTCCAAAGTCTGTCATATCATCCTGTGTATGCTAATTTTTTAAAGTAAAATTTTTAGCTAGGTGGTGGTGCCACGCACCTTTGATCCCAGAACTTGGGAGGCAATGGCAAGCAAATCTCTTGAGTTCAAGGCCAGCCTGGTGTACAATGAGAGTTCCAGAACACCCAAAGGTGTTATACACAGAGAAACCCTGTCTCAAGCTCCCACCAATAGTAAAAGTTTTAAATTAGCCTAACTAACCATGAAAAATTATCAAAATTTAGCCAAAGCTTTACACGTATTGGCCCATCTAACCCACATACCTGTGAGACAGGTATTTTCAGATGGAGAGTCTGAGTCACAAACAGGTTATATCCCTTGCCTGAGATCAGCAGAGCCTCCTTTAATGGGCAGGTTATACTAACTTTTGAAAACTTGTACTGCTTCTTGAAATAGCAAATGTTCACATAAAAGCTAGCACAAAACCTTTTTGTTAATGACTAATTCACACTGACTCCTGTCATTAGATTGTGGTATCTAATCTGGACCTTCCTTAAAGACATTCTCACCAAGAGAAGGGCCAATAAGATAGCCCTGTAAGAAAGGCTTTTACTGCCAAAGTTGAGGACATAAGCTTGATCCCTGGATCTCTGAACTGACAACTATGTGTCACCCAGTGACTTCCATACAAGCATTGTGGTATGAGTGTCCCCTCCCAAATTAGTATAGTGAAATTTTAAAACCTTGATCATAGCATTCTTTATGATAAAGAATATGAAAATATAGTGTGGATCACAGACAGTTAAACAGAATGTCACCATTTAATTCTCAGGTGCTTTATATTTTTTTCATCTATAAACTAGGTTTGTTAACAGGATTCGCAACATTGCAATTAACATTTAACTGGCTGGACATGGTGATGAATAGTGTAATCCTGGCTACTTGGAAAGATGACAAGGTCCAGGCAAGCCTGGGAAATTTAGCAAGAATTCAAGGCCACCCTCAGCTACATATCCAGTTGAAGGCCAGCCAGGACTACTTTTTGTTTTGTTGGTTATTTTATTTGCAACAGAGTTTCTCTGTAGCCTTGACTGTCCCGAAACTCCCTCTGTAGAACAGGCTGGCCATGAACACTCTGCCTGCCTCTGCTTCCCCAGTACTGGGATTAAAGGTTTGAGCCACCACTGACCAACTTAAAATAATGTCAGTCCTTTTATTTATTATTGACTTTTTGAGACTATCTCAAACAAAAATTAATACAGTACTGGGCTGGGCGTTGGTGGTGCACAGTCTTAATCCCAGCACTTGGGAAGCAAAGGCAGGCAGATCTCTGGGCTTCTACAGAGTGAGTTCCAGGACAGGCAGGGCTGTTACACAGAGAAACCCAGTCTCGAAAAACAAAAAAACAAAGGCCTGGAAGCCAGTTGTGATGACCCAATCCCTGGGAAGTGGAGACAGAAGGGCCTTTTCAAGGTTATCCTCAGCTACATAATGAGTTGGAGGCCAGCCTGGGTTACCAAAAGTTACTTGCCTAGCATGTCTGAAGCCCTGGATCATATTCCCTGTTGCATAAAAATATTAATCATGTAAGCTACTTAAACAGTGTCTAGCATTTTGTCTAATGAATAATTACAGTCTTGTTAAATCTGTTTCTTTGTGCTAAGAAACATAGTTTATTCTTTTTTATTTATTTTTATTTTATGTGCTGCATTGGTGTTTTGTCTGTATGTGTGAGGATGCCAGATGCCCTGGAACTAGAGTTAAACAGACAGTTGTGAGCTGCCATGTGGGTGCTGGGGATTGAACCTGGATCCTCTAGAAGAACAGCCAGTGCTCTTAACTGCTGAGCCATCTCTCCAGCCCCTATAGTTTATTCTTTAGCAGTTATATTACAGAGGACATTTTACAACACTGATAGATACAGTGACAAAGGAGATACGTCAATAGGATTCACCTATTTTTATTCCTCACTTCAAGCAATCAAAAAACATTACTTAGTTGATGGTTAGGTATTTTTTAAGATTTATTTATTTAGTATACAGTGTTCTGCCTACATGCATACCTGCAAGCCAGAGAGAGCACCAGATCTCATTATAGATGGTTGTGAGCCACCATGTGGTTGCTGGGAATTGAACTCAGGACCTCTGGAAGAGCAGGCAGTGCTCTTATCCTCTGAGCCATCTCTCCAGCCCGATGGTTAGTTTTTTGTCAGTTTGACACAAGTCATTTGGAAAGAGGGAACCTCAATTAAGAAGATGCTTCCATCAGATTCGCCTGTAGGGATGTCTGTAGGGCAATTTCTTGATGGTTGGTGTGAGCAGTGCCACCTGTGGGCAAGTGAACCTGAGCTGTATGAAGAAACTGGCTACAGCAAGCCTTGGGGAGCAAGCCAGTAGGCAATGTTCCTCCATGATCTCAGCTTCAGTTCCTGGCTTGAGATTTGTAAGGTGAAATAAACCCTTTGCTCCCTCAGGTTGCTTTTGGTTAGTGTTTTATCATAGCAATAGAATGCTGAACTAAGTTGATTGTATTTATTGTGAAAGTCAGTTTTGAAATTGGGTCAGCTGATGTGAAGGTACAGTAGGAAACTATATTACGCCCTGAGTTTCTTTGCTTGTTTGCTTGCTTTTAAGAAAATTATTTGTCAGGGGATGCATGCCACAGCACACCTGTGGAGGTCAGAAGACAACTCTAGGGCCTGGGTTGTCTCTTTCCTGGGATCTACCTATTTAACAACAAAAGCTTGTGCAACAAACACTACCCAGTGAACCATCTCCATCCTCACTATGTAGCCAAGGGTAGCCTGGAATTGACTATGTAGGTCAGGCTGGATTCAAACTCATGATCCTCCTGCCACTGTCTCCCCCCACCTCCCCCCTTTATAGGATTACTATTATGCTAGACTTACATCTTGAATTTCAGCCTTGTAGATTCTGTATATCTTTATGACCCAGAGATGAATATTTGAGATACAGGTTCTAGTTTAAAGTGAATAACAATTGGGATCGTGAGTCAAACCCCCAAAGCTTGTTTTTCCTAATTACATCTTGTTATTTAAAACACTCAAGTCTCAAGTTTCCTAGAGGCAACCATCCAAGTCCAGTTACTCCCAGTAAACACACACATGGATTCTTCTCATCCCATAGGTATCCAGAGAGAATATCCTAGGAGTCAGTCTCTGCATAGGCTTTATTCAGGTTTTGCCTGGCCAAATTTGTGCTGCTGAGAAGCAACCTAAACCACTTTCACAAGAAAGGCATTATTTCTGATTTTTAGCAGGTGGTTGACATACTCACTCTGTCTCTCTGACGCCAGTACTTTATCCCTGTGTATACAAAAGGTGTCAAGGGGGAAAGTAATAGAACTCAAGGGGTGGAGCCTCTGCCCTTGTAAGGGAAACTACAATCCTTTAATGCGCCTGCGAGGCTCCCACGCCCTGGGAAAGGTTCCTATCGATTTGCTCTGTGCTCCGCAGTTCTTTCTGGTTGCAGGCAGCCATCTTGCCTGGAGCTTGAGACAGGGAGCAGAGAAGGAACCGGTGCCACCGGGCTCAGGGCCGCCCTGGGGGCCTCAAGAACCAGGGGCAGCCCCGGAGGTGGTCCTGAGTCCTGGGCTATGCTCTAGGACCAGAATAGGAGAGGCATAGGGCTTGATGGGTGGGGAATGTCAAACAAGACTTGCTAGGTGGGGGAGGGGCGTTGCTAAGGCAACTGGGGAGGGCGGGGTCATGTCTGAATTGCTGCTGTGAGTCACCGGAGCACTGCCCAGGAAAGGCAGGGCTGGGGTGATGATCATGCTAGCGACCCAGTGGGATTTCGCGACATCACCTGTGTGGAGGGACTTCGTGTCTATGACAACTGTCACCTGGTGGAAGGGGCGGAACTAGATTTCCTCTGCCTGGGACGCCGGCGTTCCAAGCCCTTGCCCTGCAGGTTCCCGCAGGCAGACGCGCTATAGAAGGAAGCCAGGGAATGGCCGCGGTGTGGCAGCAAGTCTTAGCAGTGGACGCGAGGTGAGGCGTGGGGTTGGAGCCCATGGGAGCGGAACTTACTGTGGTGCATGAGCAATGGCGATAAGTGAGGCTGGGCGGAGAACTTGGCTGGTACGGCTGCGTGAGCATGCGCAGTTTCCTTGGTGTGGGATATTCCCGCGGCGAAGTGGCCCGGCCAGAGAAGTTGCTAAAGAGCATGCTTGGAAAATGCGGTTAGATATAGACATGCGCAAAGAGAATGTCTTCGGGTGGGTAGTGGAAGTCAAGCCGGTGACTTCCTATCTAGCTCCTTATTGCCTATCCTCTTCCCCAACTTTTCTTGATACCACTACCCTATTATTACCCAATTGCTACCCTATACTAACCTCTATCATTCCCTGACCCTAACATCCATTGCCAATCTGATGTTTGTCGTCATGCTAGACTGATAATATAGTTGACCCAGACTGACCCCAACAGAACTACCAATTGACTATATTGTATCCAGACTGACCTTTTCATCATACCTGTTATTAATGCAGAATTACCCCCACTACAGTGCCAGGAGGAATCCCCCTTTACCACTGGTAATCACTCTTAACCATCCCAATCACTGCCAAATACCTCATTGCACTACCCTATGCCTAGAGCTGATTTATTCCCTCTGTCCTGTGCCTGCTGCCTGCCCTGCCTCCTGAACCCCACAGGTACAACGCCTACCGCACACCAACGTTTCCACAGTTTCGGACCCAGTATATTCGCCGGCGCAGCCAGCTGCTTCGGGAGAATGCCAAGGCTGGGCACCCCCCAGCACTGCGTCGGCAGTACCTGAGGCTACGAGGCCAGCTATTGGGTCAGCGCTACGGGCCACTGTCTGAGCCAGGAAGTGCTCGTGCCTATAGCAACAGCATTGTCCGAAGCAGCCGCACTACACTTGACCGAATGGAGGTGAGCACCTGGCTGTACCACCTGCCATGTATCTCCCCTACCTCCTCAGTCACCACAGTCTTGTCAAACACAGATGACTTACAAAAGTACTGTTCCAGTGTCAGTAGAAGCCAAAAACGTAATATAGCAACTAAGGCAATAAGCATGATAAACAGGCAGTGAATTAGATAAATAGAGCAAGTCAGATTAATGAGATGATAATTACCATGGTATAGTAGGAAATGCTCCAACAGTAACATAAAATGGACTTAGGAGAAAAAAAGGAATGAGAGTTTGTTGCGGGGATGTAGTTCAGTAATAGAGTACTTGCATAGTATGCGTGAGGCTGATAGTTCTAATCTCAACATACAACATAGCAAAGAAGAATGAAAAGTCACTACTAGGAGTCAAGATCATGGTGGGGAAACCCACAGAAACTGCTGACCTGAGCTAGTGAGAGATCACTGACTCAGGTCTGACAAATGGGAAACCTGCATAAGACCAAACTAGAATCCCCTAATATAGGTGGCAGTGGTGCTGTTGGGACAATATATGAGGCCACTGGCAGTAGGTCCAAGGCCTAACACTAATGAACAAACTGACTTAGTGGAACCCATTCTATATGGAAAGACACCATGCCCAGCCTAGACACAGGGGTGTGGGGGGTGGAGAGGGGCCTTGGTCCTGCCTCAAGGAGATGATGGGACAGACTTAGTAGACTTCCTAGGGGAGCCTTACCTCTCTGAGGAGCAGATGGGAGGAGGGGGAGTGGGATTGGAATGTAAAAAAATAATAAAAAAATGTCCATTTAAACATAAAAAGAAAAGTCACTACTTTGAGCTAAAGAAGGAAGCTATGTTTCATAGGGAAGACTCTTGAGGTGACAATGAAACCTGGCTGAAGTGAGAGGCTGATTTGAGTGCTTTTCTGGGGTGAAAGTAGTTATTCTTTGTGAGGAAAACATGTTTGTACTAAGGATATATTGAGCAGGACAAGGACAGAAACAGAGGCACTCGTGAAGAAACTACTGAGGCCGTGCAAGTGAGCAGTAATAGTGGTGGCAGGTGCCATGTTGGTGAAAAGGGATTGGGTCTGCTCATATTTTGGAAGGCTTCAGACTTCAGTGGTTCTCTATGTAGCCAAGGCAGGCCTTGAGCTCAGTGATCATCCTGCCTCAGTTTCCCAAGTGCTGGAGTTAGAGGCATGCACCATCCCTGACTCTCTCTTGTTTGCAGGACTTTGAAGATGATCCTCGAGCCCTGGGGGCAAGAGGACACCGCCGTTCTGTCAGCCGAGGCTCCTACCAGCTGCAGGCACAAATGAACCGTGCAGTCTATGAGGACAGGTACATACCAGAAGCAGGCAGGGGGTGGAGGTGCACCAGGAGGAGAGGGGCCCTGGGATATGGCAGTCTGAACACCCACACCTACCTCCTATCACCCCCTACTTCCTGTTGGGGCTCAGGCCTCCCGGCAGTGTGGTACCCACATCGGTGGCAGAGGCAAGTCGGGCCATGGCCGGGGACACATCGCTGAGTGAAAACTATGCCTTTGCAGGCATGTACCATGTTTTTGATCAGCACGTGGATGAGGCAGGTAAGCTAATGGGTGGTGGGACCCATCACCAAACATTTGTTCAAACAACTACCCAAGGCATTGATTTTTTTTCCAGTGCAAGGTCTCTGGCACCATACTTCAGCAGGAGAAATTACCATTCATAAAACCGTTAGCAAATGCAAAAGCCCTCTGCAAAGTGGTCTGCAAAGTTTTTGTTACTTTAGGTACTGTGAAGAGCCACAGAAACTCAAGAGAGCCCTTTTTAGCAGGCTGCCTGAGTTCATGAGTCACTCGGAAGAGTTCAAAGCCTTTGCTGATGATAACTTCCTTGCAGAGGGCATAGTAGGCCATGCTGTGTGAAGGGTTTTATAAACTCCCAAGAGCTTGATTATTGTACTCAGTAATACATTACAAGCTTTTTTGCATTGCAGAAGACCTTTGTAGTCCTCAAAGTGCCTGCTAGATTTAGAGAGCATGTTGGCAGTGAGCCTACTAAGGTTTACTTTGTCAGCCAAGGAAAGCCCTTTGTTGAGGCTACCATTTCTTGTGCTCGGTGAATGTGTTGACTCCCATAAATGGCTCCTTGGCATTTGCAGTCCCAAGGGTGCGCTTCGCCAATGACGACCGGCACCGCCTGGCCTGCTGCTCATTGGACGGCAGCATCTCCCTGTGCCAGCTGGTGCCTGCCCCACCCACTGTGCTTCATGTGCTACGAGGCCACACGCGTGGCGTCTCCGACTTCGCCTGGTCCCTCTCCAATGACATCCTCGTGTCCACCTCCCTCGATGCCACCATGCGTATCTGGGCCTCCGAGGACGGCCGCTGCATCCGTGAGATCCCTGACCCTGATGGCGCTGAACTGCTGTGCTGCACCTTCCAGCCCGTCAACAACAACCTCACTGTGGTCAGGCTCCAGGACACCTGCTCACCAAGGGCGGGCATGCTGGGTCTGGAGGGCTGTCTTGGGGTACCAGAGTATAAGGTTTAATACCCCCAAGTCCTATCACAGCAGTCCTGTGGTCAGACTCAAAGGGAAACAGATCAACAAAAAGCACAGTTCACGGTCTGGGATGGCCTTGCTCTCTCTGGTAGACTTCTGGGCTGGGCTGGGCTGGGGTCATGGCCCTGGGATTCCTCTGGCCCCATCAACCACAGTCTTACGGTTTTCTGTCTACAGAGGCTGCTGCTAGAGAGCAGATGATGAGGCTGAAAGCTCGTCTAGTCTATCAGTGGCAGCCCCACTGTGGTCAGACTCCAGGACAGACTGGTCAGAGGGCAGAGGAAGGACATGGAAAATCTGGCATGGCCTGGGGGTAGGGAGTTGAAATATAGGGGAACAACAGGCCATGAGTGAGCTAAGGCTTGGGGCTCTGTCTCATTTCAATGGTAGCAGCTCATGGGCTTCAAGAGGGGGCAGTCCAGAGTGCGAGGGAAAGATGTAAGGGTATCATAAGCCCAAGTTGTCAGATTGGCCAAGGGGCAGCATTTTGGCTCTGAGACTGCCTTAGTCTGGTGAGCAACTAGCCTATCATGAGCCTATGGATGGGATAGGTAGGGAGTAGAAAATATGCCTGGGCCACTTTCCCTTGTACCAGCACAGTCCTACTGTGTTAAAGACAAGGAAGGGCTCTATGGGTTGGAATGATGGTGTATGTGTTCCACCCACAGGTGGGGAATGCCAAGAACAACGTGCATGTCATGAACATCTCCACAGGCAAGAAAGTGAAGGGTGGCTCCAGCAAGCTGACAGGCCGTGTCCTTGCCCTGTCTTTTGATGCCCCTGGCCGGCTTCTCTGGGCAGGTGATGACCGTGGCAGCATCTTCTCCTTTCTCTTTGACATGGCCACAGGTAGGCAGGCCACAGACCTATGTTTAGGTAACCTCTTTTTTATTGACCCAGGACTCAATCCTTGTCCTCACCTTTGCCTCCACTAATTCAGGGAAACTGACCAAAGCCAAGCGACTAGTAGTACATGAGGGCAGCCCTATAACCAGCATCTCCGCCCGGTCCTGGGTCAGCCGTGAAGCACGGGACCCTTCACTGCTCATCAATGCCTGCCTCAACAAACTGCTGCTCTACAGGTGGGTTCCTCCCCCATTGGGGCCATCTGGGCATGGAGGGCCCATCCTTTCCTTCAGAGTGGAACAAGACCTGTCCACATCACATTAATTGCACCAAGGATGGAGGTCTGACCTCATAACATGATGGTAGGGTTGCGGATGTAGCTTAGTGGCAGAGTGCTTGTCTAGCAAGTACAAAGCCCTGGGTTCTGTCTCCAGAAATACACACACACTACATAGCATAGTGATACATGGCCTACAATGTACACAATGTACAACATGATGATATCAGTAGCAACATAAATAGGAATAGTAGTAATGAGTCCCTACATGAACATTGTTATGGCCAGGCCCAGTTCCAAGCATTTCATACATACTACCTTATTTAATCCTCACAACAGCCTGGGAAGTAGATACTGTTATTTGTCTCCATTGGATAGTCAAGCAAACTAAGACAAAATACACAAAGGGCTGAACTGGAGAGATGGCTCAGAGGTTAAGAGCACTGGCTGCTCCTCCAGAGGTTCTGAATTCAATTCCCAGCAACCACATGGTGGCTCACAACCATCTGAAATGAGACCTGGTACCTTCTTCTGGCCTTCAAGGATACAAGCAGACAGAACACTGTATACATAACAAATAAATAAATCTTTAAAAAAATACACAAAGGGCTGAGAAGGTAGCTCAGTGGTATAATGCTTGCCTAGCATGTATGAAGCTGTGGATTCCACTCCCAATACTATAATTAAAGGAAAAATACCAGCCAGTGTTTCCCTTTCTTTGTTTTGAATTTTTCATTTATTTATTTCTTTCTCTGTATATGTGCACATGCGTGTGTGTACACACACACATGTGCGTGCCAGTATAATGAGTGCTTACATATAGAGGTGAAGGGAGAACTTGTGGAAATCTATTCTGTCCTTCCATGCAGGTTCCAGGAATCAAACTCAAGTTGTCAGACCTGGCAGCAAATGTCTTTACCCACTTGAGTCATCTCTCCAGTTCCCTTTCTTTTACTTTATTTGGTTCTGGGAATTAAACCCAGAACCTTGTACATGCTAATAACACTCTACCACTGAGATTCAACCACAGCCGATATTATTTTGTTCTTTTGATTTGGGGGACAGAATTCATTCTTCCCACCCATCTCTGTCATGTTACAATTCTCTAGCTAGGGTGCAAAACCTAATGACCAGACTCACTTCAAAAAATTAGGCTTTTTAAAGCCAGATGTAAGCTCATGCCCTACTGGGCATGGTGGCTCATAACTTTAATCCCAGCACTCATGAGGTAGAGATAGGGGGATCTCTGAGTTCAAGGCTGGCCTGGTCTACAAGGAGAGTTCCAGGACAGGCAGCGCTGTTACACAGAGAAATCCTGTCTCTGCAGGGAAAAAATTCATGCCCTAAATCATGGCACTTGGGTGGTAGAGGGAAGCTGAGCTCTATGAATTCAAGGCTAGCCTGATCTACATAGCAAGTTCCAGGCCAGCCAGAACCATACAGTAAGAATGTATCTTTTTAAAAATGTGTTATTATTATTATAGATCTCCAAAGTCTGTCCTATCACCCTAGGCCCTCCCCCATGTGTCCAGACTGAGAGAGCATCCCAAAGTCCATTCGTATGCCAGGGATAGATACTGGTCTACTACCCGAGGCCCCATAGATTGCCAAGCCCTCCTCACTGACACCCACAGAACGTATCTTTTTTTTTTAAATATGTAAATGTTGGACGAATGTATTCTTTTTTATTTATTTAACTTTATTATTATGTGCATTGGTGTGAAGGTGTCAGATCTCCTGGAACTGGGGCTAGAGAGAGTTGTGAGCTGCCATGTGGAATTTGAGAATAAAACCCAGGTCTTCTGGAAGAGCAGCCAGTGCTCTTAACCACTGATCCATCTCTCCAGCCCCAAGAATGTATCTTCAAACAAACAAACAACAACAACAAAAACTAAGGGGCTGGGAGATGGTTTAACAGCACTTAAGAGCACTGTTGCTCTTACAGAGGACTCAGGTTCATTTACCAGCACCCACATGGCAGCTCACAGCAGTCTGTAATTCCAGTTCCAGGGGATCCAACACCCTCTTCTGGTCTCCTCTGGTACTATATATACACTCATGATGCACAGACATACATGCAGGCAGAATACCCATACACATAAAAGGAAAATAAATAAATTGAAAAAAATGCTCAGGGTGATAATATACACATATGATGCCAGCACTCTAAGGGCTGAAGCAGAAGGATCTCTTTTTTTTCAGATTTTTTTTATTTGAATTAGAAACAGGGTTGTTTTACATGACAACCCCAGTTCCCTCTCCCTCCCGTCCTCTCCTACCACTACCCCAACTAAAACCCTACCTATCACATATCCTTTCTGCTCCCCCTGAATGGTGAGGCCTTCCATAGGGTGTCATCAGAGTCTATCATATCCTTTGGGATAGGGCTAGGCCCACCCCCGTGTGTCTTGGCTCAGGGATTATCCTTCTTTGTGGAATGGGCTCCCAAAGTCCACACCTATGCTACTGAACTACTACAGGAGGTCCCATAGATTTGCAGGAGGATCTCTTGAATGCCTGAGTTCAGACTCAGCTTGTACAACATAGCAGGACTCTGTCGCCAAACGAAAAAAAAATCTGAATTTTCTAAACATTGTAAATATCTCAGACACAGGATTCAAAACATAAACTGGTCATCTCCTGAGGCTGGGATTGTACCCTGACCCTTTCTTTTGCCTTCTCTTCAGAGTGGTGGACAACGAAGGGACGCTGCAACTGAAGAGAAGCTTCCCCATTGAGCAGAGCTCACATCCCGTGCGAAGTATCTTCTGCCCCCTCATGTCCTTTCGCCAGGGGGCCTGTGTGGGTGAGTGCTCAGGAACAGGGGACCTGGGTGACTGGGAAGACGCAGAGACCAGTGCTGCTGCCAGCCTGGCTCCGTCATCATAACACCCTGATGCCATGACTTCCTGAGCCTTGTGGTCTCATGCCTAAACACTTTAAACATGGAGCCACAAAGAGCTTGGGAACTTCATAGCTGAGACACAGACTCCACACTTCCCTAAAACCTTACAAACTACCCACAGAACCAAAACAGGCAGATGAACTCCCATCTAGGGATGGTTCCTTTTAGACTACCCCAAGCTACATTGAGGCCCACACACCATTTCAGGGACTTCCTGCTAGGGTACCACAGTAACCTCCTGATACTCTCTCCCTCTCATCTGGACAGTGACAGGCAGTGAGGATATGTGCGTTCACTTCTTTGATGTGGAGCGGGCGGCCAAGGCTGCTGTCAATAAGCTGCAGGGCCACAGTGCACCTGTGCTTGATGTCAGCTTCAACTGCGACGAGAGCCTGCTGGCCTCCAGTGACGCCAGTGGCATGGTCATCGTCTGGAGACGAGAGCAAAAGTAGGGCTTTGCCAGCCCAGCACTGAGCATTGCTCTCTTCTCTCACTCCAGTCTTGTCTTGTAAATAAAATTTCTGTGGCTGTGTTGAGTGGCATCACCAAGGTCTCCCACAAGGGGGCACTAGGGAGCACTGAGCCCTCCAGTGGAACAGGGACCACTTCCTCAATTGTGCAGTAATGTGTTCCTCCATTCAACAAGTGCTGAGTATCTGCTGTGATGTAGTTGTGCAGTCGGTAGACAGGAATGAGAGCACCAACTGTGTTGTCAGGAACTGTTCTGAAAAAGAGAGATACTGCTGTGGCCTCAACCAACAGAAATTTCTGCCCTTGTGTCCTTGTATCAGAGGGGAGGCAAGCAACGGTAGACAAAGAAGTACAGCCATTCCTTGGAGTATAATTTGCTTTATCTTTTGTCAACTTTTTGACCCTATCGTGCTACAGAACCACACATACACCCAGTCTTGTTTTTCTCCTTTCAGTATGGTGTTGAGTAAACTAACATGAGCTAGTCAACATTTTGTTCTAAAATAGACTTTTCATTAGGTAAGTTTGCCTACCTGTAGAATCATGTCAGTGCTCTGAGCACATTTAAGGTAGGTGGGGTAAGCTAGGGTGTTTGGTAGGTTAGGGACATGAATGCATTTTCAATATGATAGTTGCAGTTAAGACAGATTGGTTGGGGTATAAGCCTATTTAATCGAGAAGCATCTGTATATAATAGGATAGTTAAAGAGGAGCTGTGTGAAGAAAAACAGAGGGAGGGAAGGAGATGAGGTTGCAGGAATAAGGAGGGGGTGGTAGCTTCTTTTGGCAATGTCACCAGGAAAAGTGTTCCTGAGAGGATGACATTTTAAAGATCTGAATGAAATGAGGGAAGTCATAGTGTGGGGGTAGAAAAGCACCCTCAACAGAAAGAGAGTGACTGAGGGCAGAGGCACTGAGCCTGGGGTGTGACTGACACATGACATGACATGACATAGGTCTTTAGCCCTTCTTGGACCAAGGTAAGGAGTTTGGCCTCTCCTGAATGAAGAGAGGCTGGGGTGTAGGATCAGACAGCAATAGAGAAATTAGGGAGTAATGTTGAGTTCAACCCCAGGGATTTCATCAGATTAGGCTGTAAAACTCCCCAACCTGACACTTATCTATGCATTGAGATGTGGCCCCCAAACAGAGCAGAAGTGTTGAGTTCTTGGAGTTCTAGATTGGCATGCAGGCAGCCATGGACTTGGGCTGAACTACAGATGCTGCTGTGGGGAGGAAGAAATAGAAAATCTATAAGCTTACCTACCCCCATATCCTTCCATGTCCATCCAGGGCTCTGATTTAAGCCCTGGACCAGCTCAGAGACCAAGTACTAATGTTTATTATTGGGTGTCAGCAAGGAAATAAGTTCCAAAATCATTGCCAGTATTTAGAATCATGAAGAAATTTCAGTTTAAAGAATCACCAGGGGCCCTTACAGCTAATCCCACAGATCCATATGCTGCTGCATTTGCATCAGTTGGAACTTCGGCTAGTATCTTGGGATTTCAGTCACCAACCTGGTAGCACGGTGTTGCTGAGGTGTGGAACTAACAGCAGCTCTTTGAGGGAAGAAGCTAATTCCCTGTTTGTTTAATCTTATAACAGTGTGATCACTTGCAGCCAAAAGCGTTTCTGGCTCCATCAGACAGATCTTAAGCAAATGGTTATGAGATAAGGATATCAGTGAGCTGGAGTGGTCATGTTGTCCAAATCATGGATGTGTGCCAACATTCCTAATCCAGCTTCAGGGTCAGTGACTTCCTGTGAGGACTGTGACAATAGACCTGAAAGATACAGTGAAGGCTACCAGACACCCAGTAAATGCTAATCTTTAAAGAGACCCTCCCAAGGATAGCAGCTCAGAGCTGTGCAGTGACTCTTTTCTGTTCCAAATAGGTATACGGTTTCAACCAAGGTCTATAGGTAGCAAGATAATTTAGGGAAATACCACTTTTCTCTAACTTCCTTCTTTACTTCACGCTCTTTAATGTTTTCTTTAATGAGTCTGGTTCTAGGATGATTGATGATGAATATTGTTTGCATGATTTTGGGGGTTTCCTCCTTGTAAAATTTTTGAGGTGGCAGAGTGGACAGTCTACTTTAAATTCATCTTGGTGACACTTTTGACTTACAACCTAAAGGAAACTAAACACTGAGCAAGCAAGAAAGAATAAAAACTAATGTTATTGGTCAAACTTGGGCCTCTCTTAATTTGTTTGTCATCACTGTGCCTTTGGTTTGACATCAGAATTCTGTTCATCAATTACATCATCAATGTTGCTTTACTTTCCTCTCAATTTTAGTCCTGGTCTACGCCCTTTGTCTGGTTTTGACCCTGAGTGTTTGCTAACTGCTACGCTATCCAGAGCAACTCAGGGCTGAGCCTAAAGCTGAGCATTTCTTTAATTGTTCCTCTACCAATGTGTACCACTAGTCAAATCTAAAACCTGCACTTCCACCAACAATTAATTGTCTACCGATCTGACTTTGAACTTGAATATAGACTTCTGTTATCTTTGCTCTGATGATTCTAAATCTTAACCTTATATCTGGAACTCTATTAATTTTACCATCAGTTCCCCTAATGTTAGTACCAATCGCTATACTAACAGTAGATGTCCATGTGATCCAAACTTTAGACCAGGCCTCTGTCAACTATTCTGTCATTACTGTCTTATTGGTCTGGCCTCAGATCTGGGCATTAGTTTCCTTTTGTTTCTAAGGATGGAGCCTGGACCTGCCTGCTAAGCAAAAGCTGTACACACCTGTCCCTGAGCATTTCTTACTGTTTCCTTCACCGATGCCTATCTACTGGGCCCTCAAACTCAAACACTGTTTCATACAGTCTCTCCGTGTACCCAAGCTAGCCTCTAAAACCAATGGCTATCTTCCTGCTTCAGCCTCCCAAGTGCTGGATCACAGGCATGCACCACTAGCCAGATATTTTATATTATATTATTTTTTGTTTCAATTTAAAATAATTTTAGGGGCTGGCGAGATAGCTCAGAGGTTAAGAGCACTGGCTGCTTTTCCAGAGGACCGGGGTTCAATTCCCAGCACCCACATAGCAGCCCACATCTGTCTGTCACTCTAGTTCCAGGGAATCCAACACCTTCATACAGACATACATGCAGGCAAAACACTAATACACATAAAATAAAAATAAATTTTAAAAAATAATAAATGGGGGCTGGAGAGATGACTCAGAGGTTAAGAGCACTGGCTGCTCTTCCAGAGGACCCGAGTTCAAATCCCAGCAACCACATGGTGGCTCACAACCATCTGTAATAAGATCTGGTGTGCAAGCATGCATGCAGATAACTGTATACAAAATAAATAAAGTTTAAAAAATAATAATAAATGGGGCTGGAGAGATGGCTCAGAGGTTAAGTGCACTGGTTGCTGTTCCAGAGGTCCTGAGTTCAATTCCCAGCAACCACATGGTGGCTCAACTACCATCTGTAATGAGATCTGATGCCCTCTTCTGGCATGCAGGGATACGTGCTGGCAGAATACTGTATGCATAGTAAAAAAAAAATAAATCTTTAAAAATAATAAAATGGGGCTAGAGAGATGGCTCACAGGTTAAGAGCATTGGCTGCTCTTCCAGCGGTCCTGAGTTCAATTCCCAGCAACCACATGGTAGCTCATAACCATCCCTGATCCCTCTTCTGGCATCCAAGCATATATGCAGGCAGAACACTGTATATAATAAATAAACAAATAAATAAATAAATAAATAATTTTTGAAGATTTTATTTTTTTATTTATTATGTATACAACATTCTGCTTCCATGTATATCTGCACACCAGAAGAAGGCACCAGATCTCATAACAGATGGTTGTGAGCCACCATGTGGTTGCTGGGAATTGAACTCAGGATCTCTGGAAGAGCAGCCAGTTGCTCTTAACCTCTGAGCCATCTCTCCAGCCCAATAAATAAATATTTTAAAAGGGACGGCTGGGGAGGTAGCTCAGCAGTTAAGAACACTGAGTGTTCTTCCAGAGGACCCGGTTCAAATTCCAGCACCCACATGGCAGTTTAAAAGTGTCTGTAACTCTGGTTCCATGGGATCTGACACATTCATACCAATGCATATAAAATACAAATAAATTCATAATAATAAGTTTTACTTTATGTGTATGGTTGTTTTGCCTGTATATATGTCTGTAAGACACTAATATCTGTGGTGTCCACAAAGGCCAGAAGATGGTGTCAGATCTCCTGGAACTGGAGTTACAGACACATTTGTAGGCCACTGTGTTGGTGCTGGAAACCAAACCTGGATCCTCTGAACCAACAACTAGTGCTCATAGCCACTGAGCCATCTCTCCAGCCTCCAGACACTTTAAATTCTCCTATTGTTGGTGTCCACATGGCCTACTCTGAAACCTGGACCTCTGTTAATGCCTTCACCATCAGGACCTCTACCTTTACTCTTACTTTCAGTTTCCTTAATCCCTTCCTTCAGTGTCATGGTATCCCAAACTCCAGACCTGTGTTAACTCCTGAGCAATGCTCTTCAGGTCTGAAACCAGAAAACTTGAGCCTCTGTTAGTTTTCCATACTCACTGCTTCTGGGACCTCAGTACAGTGTCCCCTGTTGATACTTTCCAGGTCTTCTCTTAAACTCTGGCCTCTATTTTCTTTTTTTCTCCCCACTGCCCCCTGGCCTTTATTTTTCTATTTCTCTATGAATAAATACCCGGATCTTAAACCTTAGGCAACATCAGTTCCTCTTGGCATGCTTTACACTCTTGTGTCTGTTAACTCTTCCATGACCTTTTCTACTTGGTTCTAATCCTGAACTCCTCCAAACTGTGTCACCATTACTGCCCTTTTAGTAATCAGTATTTAGTATTGAAATTCTGGATGAATCTCCTTTGGCTCAACCTTAAAGCTAGGTCTCTGGTTAATACCCCATCACCACTGACCCTCTGTTCCAGCTGGGCCTTTGTGAACTCATTATCAAGACATCTCTAGTTTGACCTTGCATCAGACTCCATAAAAACCTCCTTTGGAGGCTGGAGAGATGGCTCAGAAGTTAAAAGCCCTTGCTGCTCTTCCAGAGGACCCAGGTTTAGTTCCCAGCACCCACATCCGTTGGCTCACAACCACCTGTAACTCCAGCTCCAGTGGATCAGTCCTCCTTCTGGCTTCTGCAGTCACACACACATGACATACACATGCATAGACATACACATATAAACAAAAGTAATTTTTTTTGGTTTGGTTTGCTTTGATTTGGTTTTTTTGAGACAGGCTTACTCTATGTAGTGCTGGCTGTCCTGGAACTCACTTTGTAGACCAGGCTGGCCTCAAACTCAGAGATCTGCCTGCCACTGCCTCCCGAGTGCTTAGTCTAAAGGTATTCGATACGACCATCCAGCTCAAAATCTTTTAAAAGTAGAAGTCCTTTTAAATTTTTGTTTATATTTTTAATTTTTATTTTATATATGTGGATATTTTGTCTGGCACACGGGTGCCTGGTGCATATGGAGGTCACAAGAGAGCAACAGATCCCCTGGAACCATAGTTACAAATCATTGTGAGCCATCACGTAGGTTTTAGGACTCAAACCTGGGTCTTTTGCAAGAGCAACAAGTGCTCTTAACTGCTGGGCCCCTTTAGTAGAGGTCTTTCTTTCTTTCTTTCTTTCTTTCTTTCTTTCTTTCTTTCTTTCTTTTTTTTTTGGTTTTTTTTTTTGAGACAAGGTTTCTCTGTGGCTTTGGAGCCTATCCTGGAACTAGCTCTTGTAGACCAGGCTGGTCTCGAACTCACAGAGATCCACCTGCCTCTGCCTCCCGAGTGCTGGGATTAAAGGTGTGCGCCACCAACGCCCGGCAGTAGAGGTCTTCTTAATTTGAACTGGACTTTTATTAAATAATCTAGTTTAATGTTGGGGGTTGTCTCTGCAAACAGGATTGGCAGAGTAATGATACTCATGAGACAAGAAGGCAATCCAGGGCTGGAGAGATGGCTGAGAGGTTAAGAGCACTGACTGGTCTTCCAGAGGACCCAGAAGCCACATGACAGCTCACAACTGTCTGTAACTCCATTTCCAGGAGACCAGACACCCTTAATCAGACATACATGCAAGCAAAAACACCAATACACATGAAATAATAAAAAAAATCCAGTTCATCACAACTCAGTATCTGGTGTTGATTCAACTTTTAGTGGCTGGCACTGTGCAGTTTATTGTAGGCATATTTAAGTACAGTATAATCTGGGAAGAAGTTTGTTGGTATGACAATCCCCCGTGTACAAAGACATATAATTACATGGAAACTCTTTTCAAAGTACATGTAACTTCCATGAAAATAGGTTCTAGAGATAGGATACATGTGTTATTTTAAGGACCTAGGGGAGGATCTGGTGTGGTTCTAGTCATACAGATAGCATAGAGGTCATTTGTGTTATCGGTCCCCTCTGGTCCTGGTTAGGGGAGCTTGGGGGAGCCTCTGGCCATACAACTAGCACAAACGTCACCTAGACTACTAGGTATCTGTGAACGTGGTTGGGGGAGCATGAAGGAGCTCCTGTCCATGCATACAATGCAAAGGTCACCTAGACTATAGCCACCTCTAGTCCTGCTTGTGAGAGCTTTGTATGGCCTGACCCTACAGATAGGGAAAGGATTGCCTAGGCTTTTAGCCACCTCCATTCCAACTTTTCTAGGGAATGATTATACATCTTTTATTTCGGAAGACAGCTCTACATGTTTAACAGTTCTGGATTCCCTTTATGCACCCAACAGTTTAAAGACCTCTTCTGGTTTTAGATCAAACCCAGATCTCTTTGTGTTGTTTTGATTTGGGTTTTGAGGCAGGATGTTACTACACAGTCCTGATAAACTGGAACTCCCTCTCTGTACTTTGGGCTGGCCTCTAACTCAAAAAGGTCCACCTGCCTCTGCCTCCTTTAGAACATGTCCCTCCCCACATTTGGTTTTAGAGATAGGGTCTCATGTAGATGAAGCTGGCCTCAAATGCTGTGTAGCTGAGGCTGCCTTGAACTCCTGAACTTCATGAGTGCCCATTTGAAGTGCTGGGCCTCTTTTGAACTGTTTAACCTTCAGGTTTCTCTGAACCGAGGCCATTTTAATTGTTTGATTTTGAACACAGACTATTTTCCTGGGTGTAGTGGCGAGTATCTTTAATCGCACGATTTGGGAGGCAGAGACAGGTGGCT